ATTCAGTTTAGAAGAATTTATTTAGTCTTGGTAAATCAATTGAATGGGAGGAAAATCCTGTCATTATCACAAGTTGTACACATGAGAAAAAAAGGAAAAAGAGTTTTGACCTTTCCAGGACAGATCCCAGTGTGAACCATACTCTAATACCCTGACAGACAATAGGAAGAAAATAAGTATTGTCCTGAGGATGTCACAATTTTTCCATTCATCTCTTTCATCTGGAAAGAAAATAATTGTTGTCCAGACTCCAGACTAGAGGATGTCAATAATTGTTCTACCTGTCATTACACAAAAACCTGCAGTCATTATCCAAAATGTTTTCCTTATCTTTCCAGGATGCAAAAACCTTTCAGATTATTTATTATGTTGAGATTTCCTTTTTTCTTCACAGTCACACTTTTCCTATAGACGAACTTTCCCAAGCTTTAGCCCATTCTCTCGGAAATAATTTCATTTTTATTTTTATAGACTCTATCAAAGCATGTGAATCACCTTGTGCCATTCGCAACAACCGAGAAGAATTACGTTCACAGGACTTTCACTGCGAAAATCAGAATATAAATGAAGAAAAAAATCCATCAAAGTCATTTGCCTCCGCATATCGTTGCAATTACGCCGCCATTATTCCTCGGCGGTTAATCTTCCATTACCGCTGAAAATGTGTTTCCCGAGTGGTTTTCGCAATTTTTGAAATTGAGAGGAAAATGCGTGCGTGACGAACTGCGAGATGCATTTCAATGATTTCAGGACGAGAAAATATCGATTTTAATGAAGCGTTAAAGTAAATCATGTTCGTGACTATAAAATGCGATTTGAATGAAGTTGGACGAATTAATAACTGCAAAATTCATTAGTACCATCAGCGTTATGATCAGTGGGGATGAACAACGATTTTAATTCTATAAAGATCCCAAATTGCGATTCAACCATATTTGCACAACAACAACAAAATATTAAATGAGTTTGATGAAAGGGGAATTTTTCAACTTCCGCCAAAACCAGGAGTTTCATTTTAATAAATTTTGCCGAAATGTCCTGGATCAAGCCACTCAAGCATTAAAACACTTCCTTCGGATAATGGACATGAACAGATCAAGTTAATACATAGTGGGTCTCTGCTGCATAACGAAAACTAATCTGTTCCTGAATGATATTTATATGCCAAATTTTCGCATTTTTCTACAAGATAACATGGCAAATACTTTAAAACAGTTCCAGCCACTCACAAAAAGACCATAAAAAATAAAATGTGCTGCGTATTTTTCAACAGAAAATTATCAATTTAGCATATTGTTTCAGAATGGAATTTAATTCATATCCTCAAAACTCTCAATCATAACTTTCTGCATTTTTCCAATGCTATACTGCAAAGAAAAGAAAATTTGAAGAAGTTGCCTTTTCTTTTCTGTTCTTTCTGGATTGCTAAAAATGTCTCAAGTTTCAATTCAAACGAAAATTTTCGGTTCATGTTTTTCCTCTCTAGTAAAAGAAAAGTTTCTTTGGTCGGATTTGTCGTTATATATATCAGTCTTCTGTTTCGCAGGGGCTCACTGTGCACAATCCATAATCGAGAAAATCACACATCCAAAAAAAATATGCATAAACCCAGAACACCATGGGTTTTCACTCTATCCGAAACAAATTGCGACACAAATCCGTGGCGGACCATTTCGAGACACTATATCAAGCCCTCTGTGTCCCTCGCTCACGTCGGGCGCCAACTGCGGCTCTGGTGTGTCCACCAGTGTGACCAACACACAAGTCCATCATCAAGGGGCGCCAACAAAATGGTACAGTATATAGATAGACCGAAGAAGCCGGGGGGAGAGGAAACACAAAACCATTAAGCAGCTGAGTCTCTATACATTTTTTTAAAAACTCACTATATAGACAAAAGTGGAAGCCTTTTTTCTGCAGGGGCTGGGAATTGTGGTGGTGGTGGCGGTGGTAGAATTAGATGATGTAAAATGAGAGAGAGAGACACCATAAAATGTGGGGGTGTTTCTTCTGTCTTTTTTTTTATTTTTAGTGAGCCAGTGGTCCCACGTGGTTCTGATGGCAGGCAGAGAGGGACTGTCAGCCTGGGTGTTGCCGCAACTTCACTTGCTCACTCTCACACCCAAGCACCGGCGGTGGTGTGTGCGCAACCAGCCGATTACAGCACCCCCAGTCATTATGCCGGGTGGCATTGTACTATTTCGTGGGAGTGCGTATCAGTGTGCCTAAGTTTGGGGGGGGGGGGAGGGGCAGTTGAACATGGATAACTTAAACCTCCTCAAGTGAAACACAGTACCATATTTACTCATGTACTGCATGCCCATTCTTTCTCAAATTTGAGAGGAAAAAGGGGGTGTGTTTCATTTGTGACTATACATTTTTCAGAAAGTTTAAGAAATTTTTTCTGTTCAACATAATTGCTAAACAGGAGAAATTTTGTACAAACTTTAGCAGAAAAAATGTATTTAAATGCGAACAATTGAAGTTGTTTCCATTTAAATACATTAATACTCCATCTTCAGTTTAGACTTGAGAGTGCCACAAGATTTTGAAACCATACCCCCTTATGCCATTGAAGAAATATACATTCAACCCAAATTGGCTTTGAAAATGTGAGGTGGAAGAGAGCATTGCATGAAGTTGAATTTTTAGTCCCATGAAGAAGAATTAGGCTGGGAGACCAGCATTTGGGAGCAATGAGAGGTCCTTGTGAATTTGGGTCTCATAAGTCTATAGGTATGATAAAGTTTTTCGAAAAAATATAGTATTTTTATAAACTGGTTTTTTTTCAAAATATATCCATACCTTGCTCAACTTGGGTTGGATTAATGTCCATTTGTAAAACTAAAACAATTGATGAAGCTTTCGATGAATTTTATCACCACTTACGGAAAGGTTTGGGCTCATTGCAAGGTATTTTTTGTAGCTTTAAAAATATGAGATGGATGCTGACTCGCTGAGTCACTTACACAGAGAGCAGAATGAGATGCAGTCCCACGTTTTGTTCAACTGCTGAAGGAAGGTTGCCAACCGGTCTCTCTGTCCTCGCCGCGGTTGCGTCTGACAGGTGGTTAGCAAATGGTGCGCAAGTACAAACGCTCATGCACCAGAACCTCGCTCAAGATCTTTTTCGCACTGAGTATTTCAATTCGTATGTGAACAAAAAGGAAATGATTCGTCAGATTTCTACCAGTTTTGGATATACAGAATGAATACATAACGCATCCCTGGTTTTTAGATAGTAAGACTGTTGGAGGGCATTGATGGATTGCAGTACATCAATTCCCTATGCATAGTTTTGTGTGACACCTTCCACAAATGGTACTCATTCACTCCCTCTCATTCTCCCTTCTTGCGTACCATGTCTCACTCACGCAATTCCGTCCCATAGGTGGATGCGGAAAAAGTAAGAATAGTGTTGCTTCTGCGGGTCACTCCCTTGTAAAACGAAAACTAAGGAAAGAAAAATGTACCCAAAATCCCACAGCTGCATGACTTCACTTCCCTCACAATGGAACTATTGATCTTCTGATTACTGTCAAACAGCTTTGCAGTTCAGAATTATCTTCTTTTTTTGGTGCCTATATAAGCTTCACAGAAGCTGGATCTGAGCAATTAAATCATTGCAACATATTTAGCTGACAATTTGTGGCTTGGAGAATAAAAGTGTTATTTTTCAAATGATGAAACTCATTGATTCTGGAAGAGGTACTTCATGTTATTTTGTAGACTTTGAAAAGTGACTCACTTTAGAACCCTGTAACTGATATGTTGGGCTATCCATTTTTTTTAATACAAATAACTTGACATACAGTTGAACCTCTTTCAGTCAAATTTTCTAGATTTTATTTGATTGTAAGTTTTGGGTAAACATTTTGATATTTCTCTAATTTTGCAGCACTTTAAGCATGAGCTAAATGATATACATATCTGGAAGTTTTAAAAAGTGGTGTACTGTATACACATAAAAAGGGACAAGAAAATTTAAAGTATTTATCTGTATTATGATATAAATAGACTGTCCACAATGCGACTTACCATACAATACCTGATTTTTCTTTCACCAGTTTCATTTTTAAAAGATTCCATTTGTTCCATACTCCCAAGCATCATCGATATACCTTGCAACCTTTATATTTCAGCATGTTATCAATATGAGGCCATTAATTTTACAAGAATGTACATCATAAGCAATCCTGGCAATGCTGATCTTTTGAGTTTCTAAAAATCAAACCTTTTAGGCTGGGCTAGTTATTTCTTGAAGTACTGTGTTCGTCATGTAATTTGAATAAATTTCAAAAAAGAAGACTGAAACTTACCGAAAGGCATGTTCTATATATGTGTGCAGTTTTGTAGATATACGGGCATTAGCGAAAATGCCCAGCATATTTATCACTCGACTGATTGCTTTAATTAAACTTTTCAGACAATATTTTCAAAAAATTCTTTAATTATATAGAGATTTCCTGAGCATGGCGTAATGCTGGGAGTTTTTCCTCAACGCAGGTTGAAGTCACTCTTTTAGTTTTCTGAAACCCGGAGGCGAGCAACCTTGGAACAAAAGGAAGTAACACTTCCTTGTTTCCCGCCGAATGGTTTTCCTTCTATTCCCTGGCATTTCAAATATTGCCTCTCCACTACTGTGAGCGGAATACCGAGGGATAGTCATTTTCAAGGTGAGGCGGATACAGAAGATTCTGGAGCACGTGTGGGTGGTTCAGAATTTCGTGGGAATTCTTTTCTGAGATCCAAGAAATGCATGATGATGCAAGAACCGCACCATCATCACGCGTCATAAGCACGACACTTGTGTCACGAGTTGGAATTCATCTGTAGTACATCACATTTTATTACGGGTAGATGTCGCGGTAATCGGACGAGACCAGCGCGTCCGCTTCTTGGCGTCACCGATTCTTGTGCGTGAATCAAATAAAAACTTTTTATCATAAACTCCGGTACTTTATCTGCACTAAAAAGAAGGGGAAAATGTCCTCTTGGAATCATGTTTCAGCGAAGGCAAATGGAAACGCACCAGCAGCGGATTCACTTCCGGGATAAAACTGATTCCCATTGGCACAAACAGCGTTATTCCCTGCAGCAGCAGCGTTCATCCCGTGTCCGGTGTCACTTAATTGACTGAACTGCCCTCTAGCGGCCGTGGTTTCCTCACTGCTCAGCAACTCCGTCATGAAACCGATGTAAGTGATGGCGAGACGAAGGGTTTCTATGCGAGACAGTCGCTTTTCGTACGCGAAAGTCGGTACTTTGTTGCGGAGTTTGTCGAAGGCTTCGTTGAGGTTGAACATGCGACGACGTTCCCGGATGTTGGCGGCTCTTCGCTGCGCCACGGTGGCAACCCTGCGCCGGGTTTTCTTGGACATTGACGAGGAGTTTTGCGAAGTGCCCGAAGTTTTTGACTGGGTGCTGTTGCTTCTGGGAAAATGAAATTAAAATAATTGTCTACATGTTGTGCTTCGGTTTTAGTCTAGATTTATTCTAGACCCTACATTTAAACATCAAATATTTCATTATTGACGCATTTCAGCAACTATTCTCTTTTAATTTTGATTTTATTTCGGAAAAGATGCGCTTGTACTGTATTGAATACTTGAATACTGTAATTTTAAAAAGCTTTTAGAAATTCAATCCGCCTGCATTTTTCGGGGAAATGATATTCTTGCTCGAATTTTTCTATCATTAAGTTTGCATGTGTCAAAATATCTTTCGTTTTAAATCATCAAAGCCAGAATTTTTCAATGTGCTGATTATTGGGAAAAGCCAGATCAAACTTAAGTTGGATTTTCTTTCCATAAGTTTTTTTCATCCTCCCTGTTTTTTATCTCTCAGGAAAATGCCCTAATTTTAGTAGATAAAAATGATGCGTACATTTATTCCCCCAGTGAGACTCCCGCAACAAGAGAAACTTGAGGTTTATGGTATGCATTTACATGCAAAGAAAATTTCACAAATTTTAAAAGTAGTTCTTTATAAATCCATCGACTTAAAGGTAAAATAAGATTTGAATTAGTTGCACAAACTTTGATATTTCAATGAACAAACACGCATTTTTCAGTTCTTCTGTGTAAATAATCCAGAATAAGCGTTCAGAAAAGTGGAAGACAAATAATTATTTAAGAAATGTTTTTTTAAATATCCAATTGATTAAAGAGTTGTGAGTGGATAGAAACTACAACAACAAATGATTGTACATAAATGGAAAGATGCATAGATAATCCATGTAACCAATTGAAAATAAAATCTGCCGTACAATAATTGATGAATATTTGATTAAAAGTTTGTCTATGCATTGTTCAGCCGAATTCATCGCATGAAAACGTTTTCTGATTTGCCAGCACTTATATTGGGGTTCATTAAAAAAGTGGAACCTGAGTGGCTTTTCGAATCATTAAAATTTTCATCCCGTAAAATTTGCTTCATTTTTTCTCATTCGTTCGATGAAATACAAGCTTTATAAATTAAGAGAAAAATAACTCACCTTGCACTTGACAGGTTCTGCAACCTTGTTCCAGCTGTAGCCGGGTTCCAGAAATCGCACGGCAACCCCAACAAATCGGGTTGCCTGTAGGGATACATTTGTGGGCCGTGGGGTGGGTCCCAGCACGAACCTGGCCCAAAGAACCCCGGGTAACTCGGGTGCATCACGTTTTCCCCCGCTGCAGCAGCTGCTGCAGCGGCCGATCGAAAGTCGACAAGCGGAAATCGACGCAAAAACGAATTGGACGGGTCCAAGCAAAAATCTCCCGTCATTTCTGCAATTATGATTTAAAAAATAACAAATAATCACGCTTTGATAGATCGTGAGACATTTTAAAATCTTGAGAGATCATAAAATGATTTGCTTCTTTCAATAGCAAACTATGCAGTGGTTCAACCCGTTTCTCCACGCATTCCGACCATTCTGTCGACATAATGTTCGGGAAAATATCGAGAAAAATCCCCTTCAACCAATTCGTTGTCTATACATAATGGCAATGTCCAGAATTTAACGCCCTGCAATTTTTCAAGGAAGAAAACCTGCGCAGCGAAGCAAGGATTTTATTCGCTCGAGATCGCAATTACAGTTAAAATCGCACGAATTCACTTCCTTTGTCATGACATTACAGTCATTGGAAAAAACTAAGACGGTTTCTATGTTTCCTCGATTTTTTTAGAGGTTTCTGTTCTACCAGGATCGAAAATGAAATTCCTGCATCAATTTCAGAAGAGCTTGAACGCATACGGGAGAAAATGAAATCTTGAAATCCAATTAATCGTGTGTGTAAAAATTTTAAAATTACATGAAGTGACCCCATTTACGCACTTATGATATTTTCACATCAGATAATGTTCAAAACTGCCTTGATTCAAATTTCTGGCCTGAACACACTTTCAGAATTCTAACCAAACTTTTTTTTTTACAAAAAATCAAACCTGTTTCATTGGTAAACCTCTGTTTATCCCAAATCGCTGAAATGTACCGCACTATTTTAATTTCAATAGCAAATAATCGCTTCATTTTTACAAAGGTTTTAAACCCTCACTTAAAATGATTCTAAAAGAACCTAATCTAATTCAGGATACATTCAGATTCTCAGAGGAACGGTCCGAGTTATTTTCCTCAAAAGAGTTTTTCTACAGATAGATATCATCATGTATGTTCCGAATTACTTGAAAAAGTAGTAAAAATACAATATATTGGAAACACTTTTCGTCGGACTTTTCTGAGTGGTGTGCTTTGATTTTGCCAAGGATGGTTTAGTGACATTCAAGTTTTGAAAATCTCCTCTTCATTTTTTGCTTTTGTGTAATTTTCTTCGTTGCAAAAAATGTTCGTTCGCGTTTCATTAATATAGAGTAGCTTGTGTCTGGAAAATAAAATCGGGATTGCTATTTTTTTATATCCCAATAGGAATATTCTTGCATCATACAAGAATGAAGAAAAAATATTTGAACTAAAGAAGAAATGTAGTTCGACCTATTATTGTTTTTTTTAGGAGCATGCATATATAAATTTCATCATGAATTAAAACAATTGTTAAACATTACAGAATAAAATATTTTTGAATCACGCACGAATGAAAAAAAGGTAAACAAACACTACACTTGTCCTCAGTTGTTCACTGAGCATCACTAACTATATTTGCCCTCTGGAAACCTCATCCCCCTCACCCAGTTACCAGAGAAAAGGGAGGGGGTGGGAGGGATTACAAAGGCCCCACCCCTGCTTTCTCTTGGGGAGGTGGAGCTTTGTGGCAGCTGGAAAGGATCCCTTTGGTCACGGGCGTCGGAAGGGGGATCCTGCTCAAGGGATCTTGGGTGGAAAGCAAACTTTCTAGCGCACCGCAAGCTGGTGCAGGAGCAGCAGCAGCAGCAGCAGCAGCAGCAGATGATGATCAAGATCGATGATCCAGATATATTTCCAGAGAGACAGAGAGCAAGAAAGAAGGTGAGCAGAGAAATCAATAGGAATATTTGAGTTGAAGACTTCTGTATTCGAATAAGAGAAGAATGCCTGGTATTGGTTTTTTTTCTGCTGAGATAAGAAAAAAGTGGAGTGTATCAACTTTACTCCATTTTTCCTTATATCTTTTTCGATGATAATTTCACTGCTGGGACTTTTTTTCCGAATTATTCAATGTAAATCATGGCCTTTCAAACGCGGAACTGGCAGAATTGAGAATACATTTTTTTATGGTCATGGATTCGTCTCCTAGCTGATGCCAATAAAACGAAAATTCGGTTTAGAACTTTTTTTTTTCTGCTGGGATATATTTGTAAAATTTTTTGCCCTGAAAAGAGAGCTTCTTCGACTTTCCGAATAAATTTGAAACTGATTTTCAGCCACGAAACAATTTAAAAATCGGAAAATTTCAGGAAAGGAACTGCTGGTTCTTCATTAAAAGTTAACTGCTTTGACATATGGAAGCCTTGGAACAATAAAAAAGGACAGCGTTTGACGAACTAATAACCTAGTTATTCAATCACACCCTAGCAACGTTTATACCATTATGCTCTCCTCCCCCATGCCCATATCAAAACGTGAGTTATGACAAAGAGGGAGGAAATCTGTCCGACCCCGGGTTATTCAAAAAGATTTCACACACTTCGATTTCCGTTTTGTAGAAAAAAATTGGTCGAAAACTTGGAACTTACAGCGAATTTCGTGATGCATTTAGATCATTTAATGATAGTTTCAGCACCTTATATCTGGTGATGGTTAATTTAGAATATTAATTTTGTCTTTCCGAGTAAACGGGATAAGTGTCAGGCCAAAGTATTCAAAGGCATGAAAATAATGCGTATAATAGAATCGCATTGCAACACATTTTAAAGTAACAAATTCTTTTTACTCTATCTATTATTGGGGTATTTACAGTATTTCAGAAAACTTTCCCTTATATGAGCAGGACGCCTACCTGAATTTTTAAACCTAAAATTTGGACAAAACCCCATCCCCAAGTGAGAAAAATACATATTTTTAGTGATTGAAATTCTGAACATATTCAAAAAGAGACATAAATCGGAATTACAGTTTTAGTAGAATTGATCATGAATCAAGTTTATTTTTCACCTCGTCATTTATTTTGTTGTTGTTATTGCTGAAATTGTTCCAAATTTTTCATATGAGTAGAATATGACATGCACCTAAACTTTTGAGATTTTGAAAATTTGCAACACCTGATGCTAAATATGATGCCCAACCTCTTTTTTGAAAGTCAGAAATGACTTCAAGGTTTGTGTGTGGGTGTTTGGAACTTGAGTAGATATGATAAGTTTAATTATTTTGAAGGTCCCTTCAGTAAATTCAAATTGCTGTTTAACCCCAATTAAAACAGTATTCGAGTGTGTTTTTTTTTTTACAAAAAATGTTGTTGCGAAAATTTATTTGTTAGACTTTGTGTATAGGTCCTTGCTGCTTAATAGCCACGATGTTTTTTTTCTTTTTGATAATATTCCAATCACGCTTTTTATGGTTCCAATTGCTTTCTCCTCCATCCAGATTGCACTGTATTTTTTTTAGAAACTTTTTGAAGAAAATTTTGAATTTAAAAATGTTCAACTTGCTGAAGGCCCCCGGTTGATGAAATCCCTTTGCACCACTTGGCCCCAAGTGTGGATATTAGCTGCTCTGCCTTTTTCCTGGGCGTGTGTTGGATATTAGTGTTAAATCTCGCCAGTTTCTCCCCCAATACCCTCAGTCGTACCCCCTCCCAATTCCTACACAAGTGCAGGGTAACTTATACCCAGCAAAGGGGGGCCAGGGGGAGGTTCCGTCAGGCAGTGTTGTGAGTGGGATTCAAACCAGATACAAAATGTTTAATGAGGTAAAACTTAATCAAGCTTCGAACCGTGTTCTACATTACGAACTGATTTGTGTTTCACGAGTATACATTTCGATTTTGGTTGTCTTCCGATTTCACCCAGAAGAACAAAATTGTACAAAGAAATTCAAACCGTGTGCAAGTTAAGTTTGTATTATACTTCGAAATAAAGGTATTTCTGAATTTTGATTAACATGTAATTATTAAAGTCGTTCTTTAAATTTCAGTGAGCAGAAAATTTCTCGATTATCAATCAATTTTTTGTTTGGCGAATAAATTCTTTTGCAACTTCCAGAATGAAATTGCGTTTTTAATTTTATTAAATAAAGCAAAAATGACAATCTTTTTTATCACTGCAATTTTTTAAAATTGTGTCCCAAAACGAACAAAATCTTGGTTTTACAGTTGATATTTTTGTTTTAATGGAAATTCTTTTTTTGAAACTTAGTGGGGATGAAAGATTTGATGCTCAAATGTAACATGACTCATCCATTCATGATTTTTTGGCTTTATTTCCCAGCATAATTTTGAACAAATTTATGTTCAAAAAAATATTGTACTCATAAAATATAAAAGACATGGACTTGTATTCAGTTTTCCACTGCTGACGAAAGGTGAAAAGTAGAAGGGACAGCACTGTGGCTCAAATCAGGAACCGAGTATACCCCCGAAACCCCCCGGTCCCAATACCCCCATGGGGAAACGAATTAAAATCGGATTAGCCTCGGTTTCTTTGTAGACCATCTGTTGTGTCAACACTGGGGAAGCTTTGTGCACATTTTCCCCCAATGTTGTATCAATTTCAAGGACAATCCGTCACGCCAAAATGCGCCAAAAGCAGACAAAAACTCCGTGCATAATCGATTATCCTAGGCATGACTGGCTGTATAAAGATCGACTTCTCGTTTCAGATATTATAAGAGAAAGAGATGCAAATGAAGCAGATTTTTTTCTATACCATTTTTGCACATGTGCAGGGTGGAAATAATTGGCATTTAAACTGTTTTGTCTCCTGAATGGTTCAACTCGTATATCAGGTTGAAAGGAAGTTAAATGGAATCAAATGTCTTTAAAGCGCTCCAAAAATGAAAACATTTGAGGGTCTACGGTATTTTCATCGCAATAAAACCATAATTACATGTATATATATCTGAAAAATTAAGATTTGAAGAAAAGTTTCCAATAGCTTTATACTGAAAACGGTATTGGTCTTTCAATAAACAACCATTAAAAAATCGCGCAATATTTTTTCCCCATACAATGGTTGAGCCACCTTGATCCATTAATTCGTTTATACAATGCGCCTTTTTCCTCAAATTGCAGAGCTCCAAAAATAACAAAATTACAAATAATTTTCAGAGAATATCTTCGAATTGTAATTATGTAATTAATCAGAACAAAACCCAGTCTGCAAATGTTGGATGCTTTTTTCAATGGCGCTGATCCCTTTTTAAAATTTTCAGCATAAAATAAAAATAACATTTCATAATTTCCAACCGATTCATTCGTCAACAGTCGACATAATCAAGAACAATAATTGACACCAATGACATCGAATTTTCAACAGAGCTTAGAGCTAAAATCAACAAAGGTGAAAATGCGGTGAAAATCCCTATTTTTTGTCTTCGCACCCTTGGCCAAGCGAAAATGACTAAATTGGCTGCATTCCAGAGTCAAATTATGCTCTGGTGCCAACAAAGGGCCAAAATGAAAACAAATTTGAATTCCTCAGCGTCCACTGGATGAACTGCCCTTTCCTCCGTGTTTGTGGCCATGCTTGTGCTTGTGTTTGTGGCCGTGTTTGTGCTTGTGGCTGCCCTTGTGCTTGTGGCCGTGCTTGTGCTTGTGTTTGTGCTTGTGTCCGTGCTTGTGCTTGTGTTTCGCACTGTGTTTGTGCTTGTGTTTGTGTCCGTGCTTGTGCTTGTGCTTGTGGACGTGGTGATGCTTGTGTTTGTGGGAATGCTTGTGCTTGTGGTGGATCACACTGCCAAATTTCCAGTTGTTTCCGCAGATGAAGGGGTTTTTTATTTTCGTGAAGAGGAGGAAGGACGAGTGGCGACATCATCAGGAAAACGGGTTGGAGAAAAATCGAGAACGAGTCATAATTAGAAACACTTTTTCCACGTTATATTGAATTATAATCCCATGAATTGGAAAAGTCAAGTCAAGTTTCAAATTTCTGAAGAAGGCTTCCAAGTAAACATATTTGTAGCGAAAACTCGATCAATTTGTCGCTGGAAATAATTTCGTCATCACTTTGCTAAATTATTTCACGAACTCACCTCCCTGGATCCGGATCAGCAGCTGCATCAGCAAGTGCCTCAGCGATAATTGCCAACAACACGATGGAAACGAAGATAATCGCCCAGATCTGAGAACAAAAAATAAATATATTTAATGCTTGAATGCATTTTTTGGAGTTTTTTTTTTTCAAGGAAATGTTTTCTCCCATTTCTAATGATCATAGCTCACCTTCTTGGGTCCCATTTTGGTCCCAAGATATTGCAAAGAATATCTTGAATGGTTCAAAGAATAATTCCTCTACAGGAACTGTTCTGATTGAATTCTGGGACGAGATCCGAAGATCTGATGGTTTTTTCAGAAGCTCGCTGCCGTCTTATATATAGTTAGAAAGCCGCACTTTTCCATCTTGCCTCAAAAGTGGATCATCTTGTCGTTTTCCAGTGGTTTGCGGAAGCTTTTGAGAACCTCTTTGTGCTTTGGATTCTCTGGCATTTCTCTTTCGAATGAATAAAACGAGCTCAGTCACTTACCGCTTTTTATCCTAGGTTTAAAAGTGGAATTGAAAAGCCAATTGCTCAACTAGACAACAATTTCACTGCCTTACAATGTCTGTTTTTGAAGCTCTTAATTCATAACTAAAAATTCCGTCTTCTTTCTGACGAATTTTCAGTTTCAGCGAAATAAAATGCGTTTTTTTCGCTAAATTTTCGCACGAGAGTCCTTGCGGTATTTCCAGAATTTTTCAAATGTGGATATTTCAAGGAGATTCTTCAGGTTTTGCAGGGTTTTGCTTACCTTCCCGACTCATTAAATAATTTTATGATTATGGCGATTTATTTATTTTTAAACGGATGTTTCAAAATTATTTTTTGATTTTGTGCGCTATACAAATCAAATCAACCTAATGATGAAGTGGATCCGAAATCTGTGTTCGATTGGCTGAATTTCTTACCTATTAAAGTATGATTTGATGTATTTGAACATTTTTCTTTTAAAAAATTTTGGAAGCACGAAGTTTCTGAATTCGAAGGAATTGCATGATGCATTTTTTTTAAATCTAGAGATTGATCCAGTGGGATTTGACCCAATTTTATCAGAAAAGTTTTGAATGCGAAAGATCTTCATTCTAAGAGGAATCGCACTGTGTTTGTGCTTGTGTTTGTGTCCGTGCTTGTGCTTGTGCTTGTGGACGTGGTGATGCTTGTGTTTGTGGGAATGCTTGTGCTTGTGGTGGATCACACTGCCAAATTTCCAGTTGTTTCCACAGATGAGCGGATTTTTTATTTTTCGTGAAGAGGCGGAAGGACGAGTGGCGACATCATCAGGAAAACGGGTTGGAGAAAAATCGAGAACGAGTCATAATTAGAAACACTTTTTTCCCGTTATATTGAGTTATAATCCCATAAATTGGAAAAGTCAAGTCAAGTTTCAAATTTCTGAAGAAGGCTTCTAAGTAAACATATATGTAGCGAAAACTCGATCAATTTGTCGCTGGAAATAATTTCGTCATCACCTTGCTAAATTATTTCACCAACTCACCTCCCGGGATCCGGATCAGCAGCTGCATCAGCAAGTGCCTCAGCGATAATTGCCAACAACACGATGGAAACGAAGATAATCGCCCAGATCTGAGAACAAAAAAATAAATATATTTAATGCTTAAATGCATTTTTCGAGTTTTTTCTAAGAAACATTTTCTCTCATTTTTCGTGATGATATCTCACCTTTTTAGGCCCCATCTCGGACAAAAGAAATCTTGGGTTTTTTTTTCTTTTTCGTACGACTCGATTGAACGTTTCACCAAGTGAGAACTCGGTGATGGTGTGATGAATTTCCTCCAGCTTTGACCTGTTTAAATATGAGCTGGCAATATTGCGGAAAAAATGTGTTCAAGTGTCTTGGGTTCCGTGTTTGAAGGACGTTGTGCCTCGTCATTCGAAGCTTCGGAAGAAGGACTTTTACGCAATTCAGGAAGACACTTGTGCCATTCCGAAAGAGTGAAATTTTGTGAAATTTATTCGGCGAGCATTCATGCAAAAAAGGAGAATTCCAACACCATGTAATATCAACAGTTTTATACTCGTATGAACGCCACGAAGAAAACTCCCAAGTATAATGACGATATTTTAATATTTTGGTCCTCTGACTTCATTGGGTTTCTCAACATGATTATGGTGAAAAGAGAGAATTTTGCTTGAAAATATATAAATGTCTTTTACGCGAAAGCATTTTTCAAAGAAGAACCGCGAGGATTGAGTGCATCGATGATGTGATCGAGGATGTCTAAAAATTTGAAAACGGGATTCTAGTTTACATTTTTAAATCTAATCGTAAAATGCTTTTTGTATTTTGTCAAGCCAACATGCAGCAAGCCTAAAGAAAATGTCACACTTCGAAAATTTGACAAATACAGCTACGAATCGCGCTAGTTTTTATCTGAAGAAATTTTGCCCAGAACTTCGTTTTAAATTCTCAGTTCAGTGACAATATCTGCTTCTAAACAGATGCTGATTTATATACCGTGATCAAAATCTCTTCAAAAGGATTGAAGATCCATCAATTTTGTGCACTGGAAACTCATGAGGAACAACCATTTCAAAAATTCGAAGTAATGAAGGAATTCAAAGGCATAATAAAATAATTTCTCCCATCCACCTCGTCATTCATTGAAATATTTAAAATCCTGAAGTGAATGCAAAAGGAATCCGAAATGAAAAAAAAAAATATTCCTGAGGCAAGTTTTTGAAACGTATTTCCCCTCAATTATAGTCATCAAAAACCTTTCGCAAAGTGATATGCTTCGAAAATGGCTGACTATTCTTCGCAAATTCATTTTTTAAATCCGTATAAACACTCAGAACAGACATTTTCGGCGTGAATTTTTTTTATTTTAATCACCAATAGACGAACAGATCACTTCATTAAAAAAAGTTCGTTCATGTCCAACCAATTCTTGTCGAATTTTAAGTTTCTCTTATAAAAAGAGAAATTTGAAGACTTCTTTGATCAGCAAAACCAAAAAACGCGCGATGCAAAAAAAAATTTGATGAATACGACATAAAATCTCAAGTTTTTGAGCTTTTATTTACTGCAAATTCACTCAACCCGTAGTCTTCAATATCGCCGAGATTTTTGAAAACAACGGTACGAAACATTAGTTGTCAAGTTAACTTTCGCTGATTTTTTCTGGTACAGTACTCGCATTTCTTAACCTTCAGGATGACTCCTAATTTTTTTTCAGGCTTGAAGAAACATTTAAACAATTATGGGGGGTTATTAAATAATTTATTCATTAACTGATGGAAAATGCATCGCGTCATTAGATCATGTAAAAAGGCTTTCGCCGAGCCACAGATCAATTCTCCCTCGGATTTTCCCCCAAAATAGACGAACGAATGATCAAAATTTTTCTTTTTCAAATTTAATCATTTGATTAATTCTTGAATTTCAATCGAAAGCAGAAGTGGCAATGGGTTGCCCATCATGATGCGCCAATGCGATGGTTTGACAACCACAGTCGGGTCCAAAGGCCATTTGGTTCCCTCGCACTGCGTGGTCATAATTGGCTCCTCCTCCTGCTTCCGCCGGATATCCGGTGTAGTCAGCGTCCCAAACAGGCATTTGATTGTAAGGATCCTGCATGAGACTCTCCTTGGGTTGATCATATTGGAAATTTTGACGATCCGAGGCTTCTGATGCACCTGTTTGGTGGTGATGGTGATATTGAGGCGCTGTTGGGAAAAATAGATTTTCCCGTTTGGTTCGAAGGGGATTGTAGTTGAGGAGTTGTTGTTCTTTCGGGTTGCTGAAACCCTGGGACGAGATGATCCCGTATTGCTGGAATTTCTTTGGGGTTCCGCCGTTGAATTGTTCGTAACCTACGACTTCTTGGCCGAATTCCTCCACAGGAGATTCCTGCTGTGGAACAGATTTTTCATTAATGATTGATCAATTTACAAATCATTTTTTTAACAGAGATTGTGAATATTCTAGAAAAATCCCCAATTTCTGCAGAAATCCTTTTCCGGAATATTTCTGGCAATTTGGGAACAAAAATCCCTCAGATAAAAATCCCTGGGATGGACTATCACTTGCAAAAATTGGGGTAAACTTTTGGAAAACGCTAGAATATGAATAAATGATTACATTATTTTGAATAAAAAATTTAATAAAAAATAATACAGCATCCTGCCTATATTGGACAGGAACAAGAAACATATTTTTTTGTGGGCATTAGTATAATTTGTTATCACGAGATTCGTTTTAAATTTATTCTACTGTATTTATTACAGAGGGGCAATTCTTAAAAATATTCCCCTGAGTTCTTGAAAATTAATATTCACATTATTGTATAACCAGAATTTTTCATCCGAATTTTAAATTTTTCAAGGCTCAGGACTATATTTGAGCCTCAACGACTGGATCTAAAATGTGAAAATTCCCGAAGAAGGAAAATTTTAAACTTAAATTAGTGTGCATGCAATAATGTTTCCCAATACCTTCAAAACATACCAGAGGAACACATGTCATAAATGAGACCGAACAATTTTCATGACACTATAAGAACTAAACTTTCCTCCAACATTTCCTGACGTTTTCCATGAGATATTATCATTCAAACCGTGCACATTCCACTGCTGAAAAGTTATCACAGTCTGCAATCATTTTCATTTCTGTAAATAATGGCCTTTCTCAAAAAATAGGGAGGATAGTCGTGGGTCATATGACTCATATCGGAAAAACCCAGCGAAGGCTAGACAGGTTTTGTAAATTGAGAATTCGCTCACATCACGAATTGTGCCCCAGTGGTATTCGCTCTCATCCCGGTTTCCAAATTGATGAAACGGCCAGGTAGGTGTCGCTTCTCTCTTGGGCTTAGCATCCTTCGTTTTGCAACCGCCCTCACCACCGTGCTTCAATTGCGAAGACGGAATAAAAATCCCTTCGATTCCAAGAACATTATGTTCTGTACACTTGCTAGCATTCGATTCTATCGTAATGCACAAAATTACGATAAAACTTGGGATGATTCCAGGAATTAAAACCATTTTCTGGACTATACGTCTATTTTGAAGAAATTATCAGTCGAATTTGAGCTGCCTCTGCTAGGATAGAACAAAGTTTGAACTGAGTGACTGACTTATTGCAAAGAATTCCGTGGAGTCAGCCTAGAAATAATCAGAACCACTCCCAAACAAAGTATCATGGGAAAAATTCTCTTGGGAACCAATCTGAATTTTAGATCGGAATTTTTCCATGAAGCCTTCTCTAATCTTAAAATGACGGCATTCTTATCATATTCAGGAGAAATTCGTAAAGATTGTTGCTGTGTCATAATTTCCAATTCTTCCGAATATCAGCTTGTGTTTTTTAAATGCAATGTACATGATATTTAATTTTTCGAGAAATTTTCAAAACAGCGGGACAACAAAGAATAAATGAATTGATTTCGACGAAACGAGCAACAAAAAAATCTACTGGAGGTCAAAATATAATTTTTAGCACTTACCTGAGAATGAGTGAAAATCACGAAAATGACTCAACATCTTGCAATTCACTGAGGAAAATTGTCCATCATACAGTATTTGAAGACATTTCGATGACGATTTGAAGAACTAATCACTGAAAGTCACGTTCAAAAGTGGTTAATTTCTCCTATTCTTCCCCTAGTTGTCTTCGATTTCACAAAGAAATAGACTTTGAAGGTGAATTTGATTGTTCTTCTTATAATTAATTAACCCTTTCTAGCGATTTGTGTATTCTCACTCAAGATATAATTATTGGATTGGCATACTCTATTGCAGATAGTGCTATTTTTTCAGCGTCCTCGTATGTCCTGGTGGGGTTTGGTTCTTGAAAAAATATTCTCTTCTTTAAAACTCAACTTTAAAAAGCTGTTGAAAGAAATCTGGTGAGGAGGATCTTCAACCGAGAACAATTTTTTTAATTTGACGAATAATTTCGAGAATATTTGAATAAAACACTCATATATTCTTCCTCCAGCATCAATGGATTATTTCATCATCTATCGACAGCTGTATAATCGAAACCGCAAAAAAGCATCAACGCAAAAACAAACAACATCAACAACAAGAAAAAACATGATTCTGAAAGATATAAATTCCATCAAAACAGTGTCATCCTCGTCTCTGTTTTTTTTTTTTCTCAAAAGTCCATGACAGCATTTCAATAATCTGGTAAAGTGAGTGCCCAGATGAACCCTGCAGAAACCTTTCCCCCCTATTTTTTTTTTTTAGCGTCCACTGGATGAACTGCCCTTTCCTCCGTGTTTGTGGCCATGCTTGTGCTTGTGTTTGTGGCCGTGTTTGTGCTTGTGGCTGCCCTTGTGCTTGTGGCCGTGCTTGTGCTTGTGTTTGTGCTTATTTCACTGCCTTACAATGTCTGTTTTTGAAGCTCTTAATTCATAACTAAAAATTCCGTCTTCTTTCTGACGAATTTTCAGTTTCAGCGAAATAAAATGCGTTTTTTTCGCTAAATTTTCGCACGAGAGTCCTTGCGGTATTTCCAGAATTTTTCAAATGTGGATATTTCAAGGAGATTCTTCAGGTTTTGCAGGGTTTTGCTTACCTTCCCGACTCATTAAATAACTTTATGATTATGGCGATTTATTTATTTTTAAACGGATGTTTCAAAATTATTTTTTGATTTTGCGCGCTAACAAATCAAATCAACCCAATGATGAAATGGATCCGAAATCTGTGTTCGATTGGCTGAATTTCTTACCTATTAAAGTATGATTTGATGTATTTGAACATTTTTATTTTAAAAAATTTTGGAATGTGCTTCAAAGACTTAAGCTTCCTTAACGTACTACGTAAAAAAAATTTAGATCTCTAACTAGGTCACCCTAAACTGGGTTAAAATAGTCTTTTCAAAACTTACGCTTTCTAGAAGTAAGATTCTCCTTGAAGAAATACTGGATTTTGAAACTTTCTCCGTGTATATTCGTGATTCCAAAATACATTCTAACAGAGAAAAATTAATTCTCTGCGGAAAAAAATTGCGCTTATAGCCAAGCATCTTATATTTCCCGAGCTATTTTCTTTTTTGTGTCCAGCACGAGTGAAGTTCTCATTTTCCAAAAACTCGATTTTATCTGATTTCTTCATACTTCTGCAAAATGGTACGTGATTTTTCTCTCAATTTTAAAATGCAGATTTTTCACAAAAAAGCCTGATATCCGAATCGTATTGAGATGCAATATGGTTGAACTTATTGCAACGTATAATGATGCCCATCTTGCCTTCCAAAGATTTTTTTCCCCGGTAAGCTTTCAGAAATACTCAATCAAAGTGCCTGTCGCAACACACCAGGCTCTCAAAAGATTTCTTGATTAGGAATTAAAACAAAAAAGGAATTTCGAAAAACTTCCGTGATGAAGACTTGCAAGCTGGAAAACTTGTTGCGCAAAAATAAATCTCTTCTCCACGCTCCACGAACTTTCAGACCCCGAGGGCTCGTATTTAAAGTCCGCCGTCATTTCCTGGCCGAACTTCATTCATTCCCATGATTTCGACCGGGAATTATCGAAAAATTTGCAAACTTTTCGGTGAAAGTGCATTTCTAAGTTTCCTGGTAATTCCGAGCAAGAAAGGAAAATCGCTTACCTTATAGTTACAATGGGAACCGGGGACTGCATCATTGACAAGACGGAAGCCCACGTGTTTGTTGGGATCTTCGTCAGTTTGCTGTTGTTGCTGATGGTTTTCATCGCCAGCAAATGCTGCTTTTACAGCAAACCAACAAAACCCAAGCAGCACATCGTTGTTTGATACACAGGAAAAAAAATATCAATTTTTTTCCTGCGAAATTTCCGGGCATTTTGACGAATAAACCGAACGCAAAATTTTCGTCTTACGGCTGCTGCAATAAACTGTATTTGTTGTGCTCTTGTTTTATTTCCCTCGCTTTCATTCATTGAACTTTATTTAAATCAATTAATTGTGTATTTTTGAATTCATGCAATTTATTGATGGAATTTTTCCGAGCTGCTGCAAGAGCTGCAAACATCAGCTTCATCCTCCCTCGAAGAATCCGACTTCAAAGACATTGTTTTGTACGACACTGTGGCAGCTGGCATTTTGACAAAGTCCCTCCAGAGTCCCTGTAAATTTAAAAAATAAATCCAAACACCAGCTTTAAAAACTTTGAAAACAAATATCAAGGACCTTTTTCTCTCCCAATTCTGGTGTTTCAATCGTGGAATCAGGAACTGCGTCTTGGTATCGCAAAATGCAGCAAATCGGGGCGTAGAATAAATTTGCAAAGCCCACAATTCGCATAGCCCATGGAAAGCCTATGGTTTCTGCCAGTTCTCCTCCCAAAAATGGACCTTGAAACAGAAAAAGCAGAATAAAATGATTGCTAATCTTAAAAAAATATATTTAAATCAGTAAAACAAAAAATGAAGCCACCCAGCAGCGAATTCGTGGGAAATCATAATCAAAATTTGTAGAGGAAGAAAGGAACGATGAAAATGACGTGTTTTTCTCATGAGGCTATAAAACTTTTTCTTCTGAGGATTTTTCTCAAATCCTTACATCAAGTGCCTTATATTTCAACCCTCATGATTTTACCTAAAAGTCATGCATCACAGTTTGATAATTCAGAGATGTTATCTGACAAAATACTCGACAATTTGTTTTGAGTTTCTTCTACCTTTAGTTTCTCCTCTAAATAACAAGATCATGGGAAAGAAACTTTCCCAAGCATGCCTGCATTCTCCCCTTGTTTTGGTTTGATGACTTTTTGCGCTACCCAACATTAATGTGCATGACCCTTTTCACTGCACAGCCCACATTACTGTTGACAGTCACAAACGGTAATTGTTGTTCCTAGAATTTGGTTTCTCTATTCTTGAATATATATATAATTATATATTCTGCACTAGTTTCTGAGATACACATTCAGGCCCTGAGACCTGGATACGCATCCCTGATTCTGTAATCATGTCATGAACCCGGAATTATGTCCTGAGCTCAATATCCAAAAACTATATATACCTGTATTTTTCCAGGCGCTCATCAGAAGAATCTTACCTGAGAATTGGACATGACTCTCACAATTATTCTCAAGAAGACTTTCAATAATTTAGCAAGACTTCTTTAATTCCTAATATTGTCTTGACTCTGTTTGTGTGTGTATTTGGAATATGAGTTGATTTGGAAAGTATCAAGGAAATATAAATTATATTTTATATTGTGTATAAATCAATTGTTTGATTTATTTGACGCGACCAAAAGAATATATTTTCCCAAGAGAGTTAAGATAACAGAGATATTCACCTGAAAAATATGCACAACTAACAGAGAACTGTGCTATGCCATAAACTGTGCCATAACTGGCCCCTGCATGTCTCATATCCACCAAATATGCCAACATAGGCATCAAGCAAGCATCAACAGCTCCAATGCCCAGGCCAAGCAGAAAATGTGGTATGATTAAGTGCCAAGGGGTTTGTGCCAAAGGAATCTGCACATCATAAAGCACAAATCACATTTCAGTGAAGAAAACAAAAATATTTCCAAGGAATTTCAAAGAAAACTACCAGGAATGCACTAATCCCAGTTGTAATCATGGCTACAACAGCTGACCTCCATCTTCCAAAGTGGAATGCTGGTACTCCAAGGAAGTTGGTGCCAACTAGGTAACCTAAACTGTCTGGGATAAATATGGTCCCCAGTTGCCAATCCTGAAAAATGAGCATATTTAGCAAATACTTTCCACTGCATAAAAACATTATTCAATACTATAATGTGCCAAAGTTTTTTAGGTTTTTTGAAAATCTAATTATTGGTCAGTTTACCTGTTTTCTGATTTATTTTGGCAAATTAACCAGGGTACTTTTAAGCTTTAGTTTGTGAAAAGAAACTTGAATACTGGACACTTGAAAAAGAAATTATTAAGCTACAAAGAACTTGGTGATCTTTGAATAGTCGATTAATATTTTGAAAGGATTTTCCAGCATTTTTTAAATCTAAGATTTTCTGTTAATAAGAAAAAAAATTGTTTGTGACTGGCAATACATTTGAACCCTTTTATTTTTAAGAAGTATTCCAGCATCATATATTTTAAAGAAATATGGGTGGTGCCCTGCAAGTTGACCCTGATAAATTGCTGGACTAATAAGGTCATATTGCAAAGCAATGTCATGTGCAATGTTTTTTTTATTGCATCATACAGTATTTGACATTTTTCCACATCTCTGTGGGTCAAATTGTGGGGCCTAGGTTGAATTGCAAATCAACCTCCCAGCAAATTTTACCATTTAATTGCAGGACAGTTGAACTACAGGAGGTCAAATTGTGAGGTAGTACCACCTGTACCAGAAAATGAATGCAAATATACCTGCAGATTAGGTACGTTTTCTTTCAGCCAAATTGGCAAGCAGGGTTCCAGAAGTGCCATTGCACTTGTTGAACAACAAACTGCTCCAACTGCCACACAAATATATTTGTCTCTCACAAGCACGAAAGTTGCAGATTTTGGGGTCAATAATCCATCCTAGGAAAAAATAGCCTGAAGTAATTCAATCATTCTTCTTTATTTTATTTAAAAAAAAAAAGACTGACCTCTTCAAAGTCACATTTTGTTGGGGGTTTGAAAACTGTCACCTGAAAAGCTGCCCGAAAGTATATTTGAAACATGTGCATACATAAAATCTCAGTTTTTGAATTCAATTTTGACTTACCTGTGTCAATAAAAACAAATACAGCGATGATTAAAAACGGTGAAGATTGACCCAAGAACGAATTGAAGAAGCTGCCCATTGGGTACCCAATCAGCACCCCAAGAGCAACCCCACCCAAGGACTTAGGTTAGTAAACCGAGGAAAAGAAAAGTAGCGGGAGTTTAAAAAGACGTTGGTTTGGGTAAGGATTTTCTTTACTAAACTTTGTTAGTAGTCTAGGGTGATAACTTATCTATTGATATGGATTCTGAATGTCTAAAGTTTTTTCAGGCAGATACAAAGGCTTGTAAACAATTTTGGCAAAAATAGCAGAATGAGAAAAATTGAAGTTGATCTCGCAAATTTAAAGCTCAATTGTTATATTCTTTCAACTGATTTTTTTAGAGTTGACAATGTAATTATTCATGTATTAAAAAATAAAATTACATGTTTTTGCATTGCCAAATGCACCACCAAGAACCCGAAGCCTTGATTACCTGCAACAGTGATGCAGGCTGATGCAATTCCCTGTAAACTCCTTGCAAAGAACAGCATAATGTAGTTCCTTCCAAATGCAAAAACTGTTGAAAAAAAAACACTTTCAAAATATTACAATAATTTGAAAACAAAATGAATGAACCTACTCACCCAAGGATGAAACAAGCAGGTAAGAGGTCCCCACAAGTAAAGGCAGGGCGTACCCAACTCTAGTGGCCCACCAGCCCACTAATGGGTTTGCCACCAGTTGCACCAGTGCTTTTGAGCCCAACAAGAGCCCTATTCTCTCATTGGCATGAAGGTTCTTTTCTGGAGTCTTTATTTCCTCTGAAAAAGTATCATAGCTAAAATATATTAGAAGACAAATGGCTAAAATATTCCTAATTTTAAAAATCAAGGGGCAGCTTTTGCGGAAAAAAAACTAAGAAAGTTTGAGAAAATTCTCGTATATTTTTCGATCTTCAAAATGCGTTAATGTTTTGGACGTTTATTTGAGAACTAATTATTCTACTCAAGATTTTAGTTTTACGTTAATTTAATCATAAAATGCTGGTCCTTCCTAATTTTATTTGAGTTTGAAGAACTCATAGATTTGAGTTTTGTTTTTACTTGCATTTGAGTTTGAGTTCGGAGGAGACATTTTTCAATAATAGATCAATTCATACCTATTGACATATGGAGCAAATGAATACAGATCTAATGAATGCCGATCTTAACAACTTGAGAAACCGGATTTCTTTATTTATTTCACATCTGCAGGTATTTATCTAAAAAAATTGGCTAGAAAACCATTTGAGAAATATTTCTTGGTATGGAAGAAACAAAAGGTGGGAAAAACTTATTTCTAAAGCACTCTGAGGACTCTATAATATGAAAAGTAGCCTTAGGACAGGCTCAACAACTCGTGCACGTCTCCGTGAGACACACTTCATCCGGATTCCCGGAAAAGGTCTACTACCTTTTAGCCTATAACACGTCTGAAGACGTTAAAATCCGCTGGCAAAATTCCCTCGCTTTCATCCAGCAACTCGTGCAAATGCGACGGAAGAACAGGAACTTTAAAAAAAGGCATACAACTTTCAAGGTTAGTCTACGGTTCTCAGAACCATGAGACCTTGTCTCAGAAGACAAAAAAAAATATAATAAAAATTTAGGTATTGTGGAAAATTTACCGATGGCAGTCAAAAGGACAAACAGTTCTTACTACCTGCGCATCTGTTAAGGTTGTTGGTTAAAACAAAGTCTCAGGTACAAAAGTTTTAGTGTCGTGAAGAACCATCGGTTTTAGACTTCTTTATTTATATTGTTTATTTTAGGTATTTTTTTATTTATTCATTCACAAAAATTATATGTCTTCCCAAGGTTGCTGAAATTTTTAAATTTGTACTCCAGATTTAGGTGTAAATCTCATTAGAAGTGTCCAAAAAATTAATTTGAGATTACTTCATGTAATACTGTATTTACTCAAGTACCATGCGCCCTCCAGTATAAGGCAAGCACAGGGGTTTTTCTGTTGGAAATTTGGCTGAAATCTTATCCCCAAGTAAGACACGCACCCCAATTTTTAGTAAATCTAAACCACAAAATTTTGAAAATAAAAACAAAACATTGAATTTAGACATGAATTGAACAAAAAACTGATCAATTTTCAGCTTTTTCAGTACAAAAGAGTTTTCTTGCTACATTTTTTTCCAAATTTCTCTATCATATTTAAGCATGATGCACACATAACTTACTAAAACTTTTTGAAAAATCTGTACACACTTATGATGCACACCCCTTTTTTTCTTCTGAAATTTGAGAAAAAAGGAGTGAAGGTACTCAAGTAACCCAGTTCAATCAGCAATTTCACAAGAACCCCAAGATTTATGCTTGCTTTTTTCCAAAATCGGTCCATAATTTATTCCAAAACTCTTAGCAGTTGGAAAGACAGTTGATATATATTGACTTTCCTCTTCCCTAAAATTTCCAATTTGATATTCAGAGGTAAGCTTACTGTTAAAGAATATAGATATTATTTATTCGGAGAAAAATCTCTCAATAATTCATTTTAAATGTTACTTCCATGTGAGGAATCAGTGGCTGGTTGGGGGAAAATATGAAAGCAAATACAACTGCATAAAACACATACAAGCCTACATATCGCCCGACCAGAATGTGGGACGAAACCAGACTGAACCCCCTGTGTGCACATGCAACCCCTCAAGAATGCACCCCTCTCACAGGGTTGCATTATCTACCCTGAAGCAGGCGCTGGGCTTTGTGAAGGGAAAAAGTGGATTAATGACCATAAGAACAGGGAAGTGAAAGAACAAATGGGCCTTATTGATACAATATTAGGTGTCTGGCATTCTGGATGTCCCAACCCAAAAAAAATTCAAAATTTGTAATTCTTCAAATGTAAACCTTGAAATAATATATTTTTTATCTTTCTTGTACAGGTGGTACCTCACTTTGGGTCAAATTGCAATGCACTTTGTTAAATTCAAAAATATTAATACAAATAACGTGTGAAAAAAATGGCCAAAACAGATCAAATTGTGGGGCAAGGGTCAAAGTGCAAGTCAACTTCCATGCAAATTCAGCCATTGAATTTTGGGATTGTCAAATTGCAAGGGACTGCCTGTATTTTGCTCTGCTGTATATTTTAAGACATCTTTCAATGCATTCAGATTTTAATTGGGTCTTGGCTAAAAACATAATCAGTTGCAGCTTTTATAGCTTGAATATTTGTAAGTTGTGTCCAGCCTGATACAACAAAGAATTTGAAATAAATGGGAAACAGCCACTCAGCCTTTAGGAGGCCGGATCCTCCTTATTGGAGTCCCTTAGCAATATAATTCACCCACACCAACCAAAGAACAAAACAACCAAGCAATGCTTCCAAGTAACAGGATATGTGAGAAACAAAAGGGGCAAAACAACAGATTTGCTGATACTGCGCGGGCACAATAGCTCGCGCAACTGCCAAAACCAGTGACAGCCATAAATCGGCTGTCACTAGGGGTCATAAACAAACATCTGAACTGGGCCATAAAACCCAACTCAGAAAAACTGCGTATGAAGAGAAATTGTCCCCTTTGCAGAAATGAACAGAACCAAAAACCCCAGGAGGGTGGGAACAAAAATCAGAAAGGAAGCGATTCCTCTCCAGA